TAATATATATATATATATATTTATATATATATATATTGCATTTTAGAGTAAATAAAGCCTAAATGCAGATTTTATAATTCTATATAAATTATATATTATACGTGTATAAATGACAATAAAAATACGACGTTCGCAAATACTAATAGTTTCGAACTTTTAATACATTTTCAAATTTGAGTTTTTTTTCAATAGCTCATAATACCCTCAGGCAATTCAATTTGAGACGTAAAACTTTACAACAAACCGTTGCGTACTGCACTAATTTAATAATTAGGCCATTAAAATAAGCATGAAATATAAATCTGTACGTGTGTAACTAAATGCATAATAGATGCGTCTGAAGAAATAAAGGTGTATATAAAAATAAATCATTTGGTAAAGAAGAGTTTTAATAAAGTGAGTTGTTTATTAATTAAATAAAAAATCGCTTTTTGTGATAAAATTTACGTATCCACGTTTTTGTATTACTTATTATTTACGTATCCACGAAATCAGCAGTGAAAAGTAATTAGATTCCAATAAGATATTTAAAACTGAATCTAAATCAATGAAAGAGATTCCAGTTCAAATAACAGTTTTTATTTGAAGGGTATTTAAAACATATTGGTACACTGTAAAAAATTCCAGATTAAATTACGTTATAAAGTACCGGTACTTTGGATGCACATCCGTAAAATCCATTTTTACCGTAAAATATTATACAATTATTTTCATGGAAATATTCATTTAATTAGAATGATTTAGTGATATTAATGTAATTATTGCCGTAAAAATTACGATGTAACAGTTTTTTTTGTTCCGTAACATGAACAGGTAAAAATGGATTATATGGTAAAAAGTACCCGCAAACTCAGTTCCGGCACATTTAATCATAATTTGATGCAAAAATCTTTAGAGAAAAATTTAAAACTCTATTGGTCAAATGGAAATTAAGAAGATAGGTAATAAGGACAGAGCTTATTTTTTTTTGCCAATTTATCAGTTGGTTAACGTCATTTAAAACTTTTATATAAATACTATTAATCAGTTTATTAAACCTAATACATTTCTATATATTATCAAAAATGTATTACTTTTGCAAAAGAAATTCTCTGGATGTGTGCAGGGGAAAAAAACTTATAGTAAATATTTCTACTATTGTTTTTTTTGTATTCAAGGAAAACTGCTGCATCTGATATATTAAACTGTTTCTATCATTTACTTCGTTTTAATTACAATTCTGTCTTCAGTTTATGGTTAGATCAGTAGATTTGCCTGATTCACTTCATCTGCATGAATCAAAAGTTTCTAGAAATTTTTATAGAAAATAAAAAATATTTTTAAATTGGTAATCAGAGTTTATTTTATGAACAGTGCTCAAAATAGGAAACGGTTTACCCTGATTAACTTTTGATTTCATGATCGAATCTTCATGTCGAACTCAATCCTAAATTTTTGATTTGCAAGATGTACACTTTCTTATATCATATTAAAGAACGTGATTTTACATGGTGAAATGCAAACTTTGAGCAAAATCTCGAATAGTTATTGAGAAATCAAATTTCAGAAAGTCGGATTTTTAAAATTCAATTTTTAATTAAATATTCGACTGATCTTACTCAAATTTTGAATCCAGCAAGTTTCCGCTCTCCTGGTCATACGATTTGGACCACATTTCCCAAATTGTCTCAGAAATATGAATCTATCTTTAAAAAAGGTCATTTATTCTGAGAAAGTATATTTTTGAGTCTGATTTCGTAATTTAAAATATTATCTACACAAATCAATTAGCATATTTGAAATCATCCCCTTGAACCAATAAAATTGTGTCCTAGAACATGAAAATCCAATCATTCAATCAAAAGTTACTTAGGGTACATTTTATTTCATGCATTGTACATATTTATTTTTATATTTGAAAATATATACATTTTTTATAAGTACTTATAAATAAATATTTTATTTATTTTTATAAATAATTTGTTTTTACCAGATATTTGAAACATTGACATTAATTTACACATATTTCACCTGATGTTGATCGAATTTTTAGATGATTAATAAGTACACTTTGAACTTCTGAACAATAACTCTTGTGTGATATTAATTCACAATTATTTCTTAAGAGAAAAAGTAATGCAATACTACTGATACCTAATTTTAGCTTTGCCACCTATTTTCCTGCTTAATTGGAAGTTTCATTATTAAATTTGGGAGTATTATATACCTCTATTTAGCACTTCACAAGCTCTTAAAATTAACTTTCTTTTAGCTGTTCTTCCGATACCTTTTATCAACCCCATCAAAACATATTTTACAATAAATAAGAAATAGGGGTTCATTAATTTAATTTCTTAGTCTTGGAACTAAGTATCCACCTGATCTATGTCACCTGATCAATGACTTTTATTTTTTTTAAAAGATATTTCCTTGCCCTTCCTTGAGACGGTGATTTTATTTTGGGAATAATACCTAATTCATGATTTAATTATTGGGAAAANTTTGAGCCGCTCTCCTGGTCATACGATTTGGACCACATTTCCCAAATTGTCTCAGAAATATGAATCTATCTTTAAAAAAGGTCATTTATTCTGAGAAAGTATATTTTTGAGTCTGATTTCGTAATTTAAAATATTATCTACACAAATCAATTAGCATATTTGAAATCATCCCCTTGAACCAATAAAATTGTGTCCTAGAACATGAAAATCCAATCATTCAATCAAAAGTTACTTAGGGTACATTTTATTTCATGCATTGTACATATTTATTTTTATATTTGAAAATATATACATTTTTTATAAGTACTTATAAATAAATATTTTATTTATTTTTATAAATAATTTGTTTTTACCAGATATTTGAAACATTGACAATAATTTACACATATTTCACCTGATGTTGATCGTATTTTTAGGTGATTAATAAGTACACTTTGAACTTCTGAACAATAACTCTTGTGTGATATTAATTCACAATTATTTCTTAAGAGAAAAAGTAATGCAATACTACTGATACCTAATTTTAGCTTTGCCACCTATTTTCCTGCTTAATTGGAAGTTTCATTATTAAATTTGGGAGTATTATATACCTCTATTTAGCACTTCACAAGCTCTTAAAATTAACTTTCTTTTAGCTGTTCTTCCGATACCTTTTATCAACCCCATCAAAACATATTTTACAATAAATAAGAAGTATGGTAATTTAATTTCTTTGTCTCATAACTTGGATCTTGGAACTTGGATCTATGTCCCCTGATCTATGACTTTTATTTTTTTTAAAAGATATTTCCCTGCCCTTCCTTGTGACGGTGATTTTGTTGGGGGAATAATCCCTAATTCATGATTTAATTATTGGGAAAAATCATAATTAAATATATTTTTTCAGCTAACTTAATAACTTTTTCTATAAATTAAAAATGCAAATGTCGTGAAAACTTTCAGCGTAATTTCTGTTGTGCTCATCTGATATGAAAAAAAAATAAACAATTATTAAAAATTTTAATTATAAAGAAAGATAAAGTTACCCCGCTATGTTATCGCTGCCTTCGTCAGCATCAAATGCTTAAATTATAACTTAAGACAACCTAACAAAATGAATACAAACTATAGTGGGGCCAATAGATAGATAAATATTCGAGTTTACATATAAGTGAAATATATAGATAGATATAGGTAATTCCTTTAAATGATATTAAAGAATTTCAAAAATGAAGAAATTTTACACCTTTCCTGTATATGAAAAAATTTATTTAAAAATTTATTAAGTTAATTTTAAAATTAATTACTACATAGCACAAAGCTGTGTTTTAAACTGGAACTTTTCTTACAAATTGAAATCTTTATAAAAACTTTAGATTTACATGATACATTTCCATGATTTAGATTACAAAACTTTAGATTTATGTAATTGAAGCTAGTGTCAATGGTGGTTTTTCAAGTGTTAATATCAATAGTGGTTGGCCAAGTATTAATATAAATTGTGGTTGTCAAGTGAAGGTGTTTCGATCACTGGAAAGTAAACTTAAAGGATTTTAAAGAAAATCTTTTAAAATTTTAGAAATAAAGCTGTTTGTCGAATTTTAAACAAAGAAATTAAATCTGTTAGACAAAAGAACTAATACTGAAATTTTA